AAGATATTAGGGTCTTTAAAATACCCAAATGATAAGTGTCATAGGGATGGTTTGCTTTGGGCCACAGCCACACGTGTGGCATTTACCAGGCTCCTTAAAATAAAATAATGCAATGCACTCGCTTCAAAAGTCTACGCATCATTGTTGGCCTCGATCCGTATGTACGGCTTTATTTGGATGAGTGCTATCCGTCTAGGACATGCAAGTACACATCTTGCTGCCAATACGTTCTGGCGGCCGATGCTTTTGGCTAGCACTCCAACGTGTCAACCGGCGATGCTAAAAAAGAGCTACTCCCACCATCTCACAACGTAAGATCGTTTTTCCAAGCTAGATTGAAAAACGATCTTATATTGTGAGACGAAGGGAGTATGAAGCTAGCAGGTGGATATATTCAACCGGGAGAGATCGATGAACTGGAAAATACACAGACAGAACACAACAAAGGACACCACAATTTATTGCTCCAGTGAAGTTTATTGCTTTCCGATCTTGTTGATGTAAAGTACACATAATCTATCTATTACTATCACTTGACATGAGTGGTTACCTATCTCAAAAACAAAAAAACAATAATCTATCTATTACTACTACATAGCTGATTCGGCTGATGCTACACGTGCGCACCGGACAGGAACACCTTATCATGATTAACTCCAACAATCGTGATCAATTAATTCCTCCCTGCAGTAGAAGATGAACACTTGCCGTCAGCTTTGTGGACAACGCCATCATTGGACGCAAGCATGAGGTATTTGTCCTTCCTGTTGAGCATGGTGCAGCTGTAACCGAGCGCATCCCCTATCCTCCTCTGCACGAGGTTGGCCATGTCGGCGCTCGACACCTTCCCCTCCCTGACTGCAGACGTGCTCACCCGCTCCAGAAACTGAACCGTGTAGCACATCCTAGGGTTTGCCAGGTAGTAGAGCGGGTCAAGGAATTTGAGTCCCCCTGCCGTGGTAGCGTAGAACATGGCCGTCTCGACGGCGATGCCCACGGGGACCACGTCGTCGCTGAGCTCCCGGAGGAGGTACGGCTCCCGGCAGGTGGTTCCCTCGGGGCAGACGACGACGTGGTCTCCGCGGTCCAGGAGGCGGGTCATGGTGCGTCCGTCGACGACGCGATCTCGTGCCAGCCGCACCGTGCGGCCGATCGGCGAGATGAGATCCGAGAGGCGGCTTAGGCTATATGACACAGCGCGCACCGGTCGGTCCAGCGCCACCGACACATACACCGGGTCGATAAGCGTGCGGTGGTTGCAAACGTACAGCTGCCCGTGCCGACGTCGTCGTTCACCGTCAGCGCCCAGCAACGTCGGCAGCTCACCGCCCTTGAGACGCCAAGACATGCCGGTGGCCGCCAGGATCAGCGTGGAGTATCGATATGGCATGGTGAGTGCGACCGCCAGGCGGGCGGCCCCAAGGGCTACGCCGAAGGGCAACCACATGAACATGGCGAGCGTGCTGCCTGCTGTTGGCCGGAATGCTAGGCGGCCGTCGTGGAACACCATGGCCTTGGGGTACTGGTTCCGGGGTAGTGCCTGCCATGTCGCTCTGTCGACTCGTGTCTCGAGGTAGACATTCTACTCGTACAGACAGAGAAGAGTAAATGTGTCACGAGTTTCACATGCATATGTAAGCAAAATTGTACGGTCATAAAAGTTAAAGAACATATTGCCATGCAATGATTATAACAAAATAACAAGCACGCAAACATGTAAAAAAAAAGTAAGGACCGAGTACGGAGAGAGTAGTGGTCATTCAAATACGCACTAACCAAAAAACAATTATTACTACGAGGCCACTATCAAAAATATATTTTGCATCAATACAAGGCCACAAACAGTAATCGATGCAAAAGTTAATGATGTTTTTCCTTGTACTAGCAACTTTTTAATACGTACATGCATGTAGTCATAATGACACTCAGTCACTTCTTTCTCATTCATTCGTTGCATGCCTGTGGTGTATTAATGATTCCGGTTAACGAAAAGAAAAGTTGACTTGCAAATGAGTTATTAAATTTTATCTTGGTACCTGTAATATGAGTTTGTGGCCTTGTATAAGGGAATGGAGGGAGTACCAAATATAAAAAAGTAAGGACCACAAGGGCAAATTTGTGGCAGCAGCAAATGAACGGTTGAATTTCTGTTATGATCCATTTTACGCTGAAGCTCGAGTGCAGTAAAATAGAAGTGATGTCAGATAATGTGGAAGTGGTCTCGGCCTTGAAAGATGGTACGTCTAGCTCAGTTGCTACTGCCATTTTTTATGACTGTTATTATATGTCATTAGATTTTAATCACGTTGTGTATGATCATTGTAATAGGGAGAGCAACCAGGTCAGGTCGCACATGAACTATCTAGGCTAGCGAATTACTCTTCCCCTAGTATCTGGATGGATTCTCCTCCGGATGAGGTGGTTCCCTTGGTTGTAAACGATGCTACTCTATTAACTGAACAGAGGAACCCATTTTTCAAAAAAAAAAAGAAGGATCGAGTCTACATTTTACCCTCTACATGTATATTTCTTACAATGATCTTATATTTACTAATTGGATGCACCATCTTAAAAAACAACAAACCATTAGATTAAACTTAAGTAAAAAAAATAAGCCGTTAGATTGAATAGTTGAGTTGATAATTTCGAATCAATGTCTTAGTGCATCTCACCCCACAAAGAAAATGTCTCAATGCATATTCCTTATGCAGCCGGCCGTCCTTGCCCTTCTCGCTTACACGCATCATGCAAGTAATATGCAATATGTATGTCTTGCAATCGTCTCTGCCCATCCCGTGTGTTGCCTTTGTGGAATAAAAAAAATATTGCTTGCACGCACGTACTATTACGCAAGGAACCTCCAATACGTATTACAATCGTCCCTAATGATGCCATATCTTTTTTTATTTGGCCGCTTCTTATTTCTTGGATGAGCGCGGCCGCTATACATAAATACCTATTTTAAGCCGGGAGTTAAAAACTTCTCACTTTCTCCGTTTCATAAGTCTTCTCCTTTTTTAACTAAAACCACAACCAGAAGTACTTTACAGTCCTCCTAGATGCACATGCTTATTCTATCCCAAATTCCCAATTAACTCTAAGAATTTTACTGATGACTTTGTCCTTTGTCGTCGATGTATGTATATCTCTCTCTCAAATTAATGTTGAATTGAAGTTTCATATATAACCATGATACAAAATTAGTATTTTCCAAAATGTGCTATAGACTAAAGAATATTAAAGATCACATATATGGGTACCAATTGATTTCTAAATGCCTAGAATAAAGTAAGAACTTGTGATCTCCTACTAATAAGACAAAATATTAATATAATATTTAATTTTCGTGTCAGTATTAATCTATTTTCATGCGCATACAAGTGATCGTACATTATTTGTATATAAAAATGGCTAAGAAATCTATAAGGATATCTAAGAAATGTACACATAACCTGGGTCTGCATTACGTGCTGACATTCCTAGAGATGAAAAGTCTGAACATATGGTTGCAGGGAACTTGTGTTGTAAACTACACGCTCACATACTTCTCTACTAGGATGCTCTCCCATCTCCTTAGAATTTAGTTATTTTGGTCCTAAAAGTACTTCAGCATCATACAATATATGATCGAGTACTATGGGAAAACCCGTACATGGAAAACTCATATCACAAGCCAAAATAGTTTTATAATTGTCTAATACATAATATAGTATAATATCTCAAGAGTGTGGCTTTTATGTGCTCCCGCTGCCTTTAGCCCTTTTTTGGGAAAAAATAAAAAATTATAGTTCAAAGTTCTAAAATAATCTAAAACCCAATTTTACATGCTGCCGTGATTGTATACTACAGGTGTATAAGATTTATACATGACTATGACAACTCCCTACCAGATGATAAATGCTATTGTAATACTACTATGGTTTGAAATACTGAAGATACAAAATAATATAATGATTATTTCCGGTTATATCTTATTGATAATTGCCATATTAGACATCGACATAGTTTTAAATATGGAACTTTGACAACTAAATTGGACGTGGAGTTTCTACACCCAGGCTCAAATGCTCCTGGTGTCAATAGTAAAATAAAAAAAGTGAAACGAAATTCTGAACTTTCAATGTAGCATACTTAAAGAATTGTTTGTTATGCGTGAGAAAAATCCGATTCTCTGAAATGCTATTGAAAATAATGTTTTGAAAGCATCGATTTTGTTTGTTCACCACAACCTTCCGCCAATGTGATTTCGTGATGAAATTTCGCATGCACAACAAACATTTCTTAAAGAAGGCCAAAAAAGTTCTGAATTTTTTGAACTTTTTTCAACTTATTTTATTTTACTATTCACACAAGGAGCATCTGAGCCCGGGTGTGGAAACGTACTTTCGAACTAAATTATACTATAATAAAGGGCATAGCAAGAAATCCCACTATGGAAGTAATTTTGAAGATATAATCTAATATAATAGTAATAACCATGTGTTTATTCTCAATATCTTACCTCAAGTTTGTATTTCAAAATGAATTATGTACAAAAATTGCAAACAGCAAAGTGTATTTGTGTAGGGTAAATGCTAATAGTAATTTCGACCCTTAATGCAACTATGAACAAACTAAAAAGAATAATGCGAGAGAACATGGTGAACTCATCTAACATGTCTGAGTTTAAAGACATAGCAGGGGGCAGTGGCAGCACTGCGATGGTGCGGCAGCTGTGAGGAAAGAGGTGGGCAGCAAGGTGCAAACCGGAAAGCCGCCAGCCGTTGGTGCCGCAGCAGGCGGCCCGGAAGTACGTCGAGTTGGGGCGCTGAGTAAAAAGAAGATGGTGTGGAGGTAGAAGAAGAATGGCCAGCCGTTGGATTACGGTAAACTTGGACTGCTAGTTAAAAAATTAAGCCGCGTGACTTATAGTCTTTTGATTGCAGTTTTGTTGATTGCTTACCAAGCAGGCCGCTTGGTGTGTGACTTATAGTCGGCCCTTGTTATTTTGTACCACGAGATTAAGAGAAGTTTATGTCACGTAGGACTACCTTGCAAGAGCGTGCGAGAGAATGCTGGAGAAACTCGAGCGAGCCAGAGAATCCTACAGCATCATCACCGTCCAGCATGATCTTCTGCTGCTCATCCAACATACCCTCGTCTCCTTCCTCCAGTAGACCGGTGTAGAATCCCCAGAGCACTTTCATCTCCTTCCCGACGACTGCCTCTGCGTCGAGATACTCCCTCAGGAACCCCTCTATTACCACCCTCGGCAACTTCCTGGTCACGCACACCCTCCGCCCTCCTGCGGCACCACTCATCCTCATCGTCTCAAAGCCTTCCGCGGCCACGTCCTCCATGAGCCACTTGGGCAGCACTGCACAGCCAGCTAGGAACTGGCTCCGGCGCAACCCACAGAAGGCCGTCATAGCCATAAACCTCACGGCCACGTCACTGTTGCCCCCCATGCATAAGATGATTGGGTAGAGAAGGAGTAGTACGAGTCCTCGTAGGTACCCTCCGGCCTCCAGCGCCACAAGCATGAAGTAGGGGAACGGGAATGATGACGACGGCAGGAGGAGCCCGGCGTCAACATCGAGAACAAGGGATCGCCCGGCGGCGAGCTTCTCTCTCATGCAAGGATGGGTGGCTCTGACTTGGTTGGAGATAGGAGCCCTAATCCCATGGAGGGCGGAGAAGAGCCTCTGCAAGAGCATCTGCATCTTGGCCATGCTGGATAGATGCGCTAGCTTGTTGTACCGATACATCAAGCTGCACCTAGCATATATCGGACGAGGACACCAACTACTAACTACCTAGCAAGCTAACTTTCGTACATGAAGGCAACAGTTCAACACCCACCACCACTTGAATCTGGAATATTGCCGAGTGCTAGCTGTTTGCAAACATGATTTTTTCCGAGAACATTATATGTTTTGCCTTCGGCAAATAAATCTTTGCCGAATGTTTTTTTTTACACCGAGCAAACAACTCTTAGTTGAGTGCCATTTTCTATTGCACTGGGCCAACACTTCTCTTTGCCAAGTGCCTTCTTTTGCATTTCTCTTTTCATTTAGTTCTCCTTTTTTCTTGTTTCTTTTCTTTTGTACATTATTTGATTTCATTTTTTCCTTTTATGCACTTTATTTATATTAATTTATTTCGTTACCCCTTCCTTATTTTCTTTTATAAGCTTTAAGAGATTTCCTAGACATTTGACATCTAGTTGATAAAAAAAATAAACTAGAACAAGTGCGTGGAAAAGTTAAAAAATTGGGTTAAAAATCTTATTTGTGTTGTTGAGTCCATTCTTAAGACTTACCCATCAAAAGGAAAAGGAACTTCAATCATGAGAGTGCCGAGACTCGCCCCCCGAACATTGAGTTTGTTAGTTTTTTATTAACAAAAATGGAAACATAGACCGAAAATCATGAAATTTTGCATGGTGTCCTCATATGACATCTACATGTTCCAGTAATATTTGATATGGTTGCGCAAAAGTTAAGACGTACATCACATGGAAACCGTACAATCTCCAAGGAAGCAACATGGTTTCGGGAGGGAACACGCCAAGATTTAAGGGGATGCCCCTGCTGCTTCACTGTTTAGGCTTTATTTTTACTCTGAATATACCACATTACAAGATCGATGTCAAAATTTGGCATATTTCATGGTACAACAGCGCATAGCAGCAGGAAGAAGCACGCAGCAGGCGAGGCGAGCGGCCGACGGTGGAGGGCAGAGATGCGGCCGGCGTGGCTGAGGGGGCGGCCGGCAGAAGATGTCCGCGATAGGAGGCGGCGCGAGGCAGGGGCGCGACAGCGGGGCGAGCGAAGAGATATGCGGCAGTAGACGGGGCGAGCGTAGCCAGCGAGAGTGTGACGCACGGCCAGGGTGTGCGTCGCGCCGGAAACAGTGGTGCGGTGGCTGTGGCGAGTGTGATGGAAACGGCGGGCGTGACGGACGCGGTGTGGCACGTGCATGTGCATGGAGAGCCAGAGAGGGAGTGGCCCCGCGGGTGCGGAAGAAGAGCTGAAGGCTCGGGCATGGGCGTGCATAGGAGCGGGCATGTGCCACAGGGTCAATCCGAGGATCTCAGTGGCTACCCCTGCAATGGACATGGCGGACGGCGGTTCTCGGCCACGGCGAAATACCTAACTAGAGCAAACGAGAGGGGAAACAGGAAAAAGGTAAGAGGAGATCACGACGGTGTCAATGGCACCCTAGGGGAAGACAGGGGAGCTCGGGGCGGTGCGGGTCAAACGGCAATGTCGCGGTGGCCGAAGGTTGAGGAAGACGGAAACGACGTCGATCTGGGGGTGCTGGACTTGATCTCGTTGGCACAGACGAAGTAGCGGAGGCATTCGGAGCTCCTCGACAAGCTCCTAGCCAGCAGGGAGGGCAGTGGCCGTGTGGACGGGGTCGGCCATGGTGGCCGTGGCATCTGACTTCGTCCAAATCACCGGGATAGAGCGAGCGAGGAGGAGAAGTGGATCTGGGAGGGGCCGTCAAGGAGGAGTGAGGCCATGGAGGCAGGGGAGGCAGGGCGTCACCCTTATCCATTCCCCTTCAATGCCGGCGAGGTGGTCGGGTGGGAGCCCGGCTCTGTAGCGACGGGCTTGAAGAACAGGAGAAGACGACCAAGCGGGGACTGGACCACTAGGCCGGTTTGGTGGCAAGGCCCGGGGGTAGGGGGAATCCCCTTTTTCATCGTCCTTTTGGTTTTAATGTATTCTAATCCGTTTATCCTTTTTAACGCCGTTTTCTATTTACACTTATATCAACTAAATGGATTTTGTTAATTGTGAAACTATGCACACAATTCGAGCACAATATTTTTAGGTGGCACAAAAAGTTTGGGGCCAAAAGGAAATACATAAAATTAGATTTATATTTAATTGGTTATTTTAACTACTGTTGGACCTCTTATTAATTTGACAAGATTTAATTTTTGGGTCAAATAATGTTGGGCTCAACATGTCAAAGATCAGTGGAATTTATAGAATATGGTGAACATTTTAGTTTTACTGTTTGACGAAATAATTTATTTGACTTTATTTTAAATTTGAATTGGGCTTTGATTTTTATCAAGTGGCAGTTTGGCTTAGCAAGCCTGATGACATGGCATCATTAGGGGGAGGTCACTATAGCTAACGACCTGAGGTGTTACGTAATCTTCCCATTTCTGAAATATCATTGTTAAATGATTGGGGAATATATCACACTATCCATTAGTTCAGTCAAGCTCACCACAAGTCCACCCATTATTTCCAATTGAGTAAGTCTTATTGGCGGGGAGATTAGGCTATGTGTG